TATCCCATGCAGATAAAACTATCCTAGATGGTGGTTGTTGAAGCTGTGGAGCAATGAAATCATTGCTCCTTCAAAGCAAAGAAAAGGCAGGAGCCAGATGCGAAAGAGCGTGCAGGTAGGATTTCTTACAGTGGGGAGCAGGCCCATAGAGACCTGGGCTTTGCAGTTCTGAACCCCATTGTCAGAATCGGTACAGCTGTAGGAAAGCAGCACTCAAGCTGTCTTTTCCAGAGCATCATAAATGCAGCTATAAAAATGGCCAGGCAGCTTCAAAGACCGGTGTTTACTAGGTGAGATTTCCGAGGACTTTCCTGCCAGCCCTCTTCTTCTTCTGGCAAGGCAACTCCCATCCCATCCTCAATTTGCTTCATTAAAAACATACCTTTTCCTCTTCCTTCCCACCTTCTGCTGCCAGTCCTTATTTTTCCTAATGGTTTGTTCCTCTTCATTCACCCAGTCAGCAAAATATTTACAGAACTGTAGAAGGTTCCAGATACTGTTCTGAGGATACAGTGATGAATAAGGCAGAAAGTTCTACTCACATGGAATCTTGATTCTAAAAGTGGAAAACACACAATGATCAGGTGATGTCAAAACATCAGGTGTAAGGAGATGTTATACAGGGAATTAAAACTAGCGGATTAATAGAGAATGATCAAGTAGCTTCTTTAGCCTGAATGATTAGGACAGACCTCTTTGAGAGGATGTCCTTTCATATGTATTTAGTGGCTCAGTGGTGAAGAGTGTAAGAAGCCACTCTCCTTGGTCCTGTGTGAGTAATGATACTGTTCCCTCTAATATATATTTTTAACATGTTATGTAGTTCCCCCTTTTCTAGTGTATAACTCAATGAATTTTAGTAAATATGCCAAGTTGTGAAACCATTTTCATAAATCAATTGTAGAATATTTTCATCTTACTTACAGGATTCTTCTTGGCCATTTGCTATTGTTAATCCTTCTTCCCTACCCCAGGAAATGACTAAGCTATTTTCCTATCCATAACTGCTAAGATCATGCCTGTGTAATTCTTTGTGTAGATGTATGTTTTCATGTTTCTTGAGTAGATACTTGAATGGAATTGCTGAGTAATAGCATAAATTTATATTTAATGTTTGGAGAAATTGCCAAATGGCTTTCCAATGTAGCTGCATTTCTCACAAGGAATGTATGAGGATTCCTGTTTCTCCCTATCCTTGCCAACATTTTTATTGTATATCTTTTTTTTTTTTCTCACTAGAGCTATTCTAGTGGGTGTGGAATGGTATTACATTGCATTTCTAATTCACATTTCCCTAATGCAATGTTGATCTTATATGTATTGGCTATTCATATGTTTTCTTTAATAAAATGTTTACAGAAAGCATTTGCTATTTTTTTTTTTTTTTTTTGTTTTTTGAGAAACCTATGTACTGTTCTCCATCATAGCTGCACCAATTTACATTTTCACCCACAGTGTAGGAGGATTTTCCTTTCTCCACACCCTCNTGTTGGAAGATAAATCCAGTCTCTATAAATAAATCCATCTTGGACAGAAGTGGAAGCCCCATCATGGAGCTGACATTGGGTGAGATCTGAATGGCAGAAGGTGCACAGCCTTCTGAAGTCTAAGGCTGAGAGGTAAAATGCAAGAAGGACCTATTCTTGGTCTGGAAAGAACAAATCTGCCAAAGGAAACATTCTGGGTGGAAATAAGTAGGATACGTTTTAGAAGCAGAGTAGAGAGATTAAATTTTAACCCTAGAGAAGGTGACGTTAAGACAAGAACATGCAGAAGTTGACAGCCTGAGGCAGGGTGACTGGATCACGTTGGAAGTACAATGGATGCCCTTGGCCTCTGCCCCCATCAGACTTGATCCCAGTCTCTGGTACCTTAAGTGGTCCTCTGAGTTTCCTCTTGATCTTTGACTTTGGTGTTCTTGGTGATGCTCATCTTCCTTCACTCTCCCTCTTAATATTGCTCCTATTGCCTTAATAATAAAATTTCTCCATTTTTCAACCCTAAGAAATGGAACTATAAAAACAAACCCAAGAATGCCAGGTAATAATCAAAAACCTTCCCATTCTTACCCTTTATGAACACAGATATGTACATGCACACACACACACACACACACACACACAGATACACTGTGATGGGGAGAGGGTGGATTGAGATAAGCCACAGAATGCAGGCAAAACTAATCAAGGCAATTCTTTTTGGCCCTCCCCTCCCCAAAGAAGCATTCTCATGAAGAACAGAAGCAGAAAAGGCAACAATCAATCCTGACTGGACTTCTTTGCATCCTCTCCTACGATTTCTTGTAGAAAACTGGAAATTTGGAAAAAGCTGAAATAATTTACAAACATAGGAATTATTATTATTATTCTAATGTATTCACTTTATTACCTCTCCTGGGGAGAAAATTGTTAGATGCTTGGTATCTGGAGCAGAAAGGAATTTACCCTGACAAGGTATTTTTTTTGTGAATTTGTTTTCTTTGGTGTGTGATGACTGGGATTGCTTCTTAATGGTCTCCCGATGTTTGACAAGATCTCCAAGCTATAATTGTACCACTGCTGGTTGGAAAATTTTATCCCTGTCAATTATGTTCCTTTAGTTATATTTTGCTAATAAAAATGTCAATACACAAAACACATTCTGTTGCCTTTTCCTTTTCAAACCAAGCTTGCATCTCATCATAGTTTATGACTATTTCTGCGAAAGATTTGCAACTTGCTGACTATCCTCTCATGTTTAAAAGTCCCTCAGAATCAAAGAATACCCATAATATTCATCCTGCTAATTTTATTTTAAAATTTTTATTGGAGTATAGCTGCTTTATAACACTGTGTTAGTTTCTGTTGTACAACAAAGTGTGCAGGAAGGGAATGGCACCCACTCCAGTGTTCTTGCCCAGAGAGCCCCGTGGAGACAAGAGCCTGGAGGACTCCAGTCCACGGGTCACGAAGAGTCGGACACCACTGAGGCGACTCAGCACGCGTGTATGTAGTCTGTGTGTGCTAAGTCTCTTCAGTCCAAGGAAATCCGGAAAGAAGGGATATCTCATTAAGGTCACCTAGGGCACTGAGGAGAGTCCCCTATGCTACACAGTAGGTTCTCACTGATTGTGTTTTATACACAGTAGTGTGATTATGTCAGTGCCAATCTCCTGGTATATCCACTCCCTCTCCCTTGGTATGCAAACATTTGTTCTCTGCATCTGTGTCTCTATTTCTGCTACACATAAGTATTAATATATTTATTTTTCTCTTTCTGACTTACTTCACTGTATGCATTTTGCTAGTTTTAAAATTCGGTTCTATTGTATGCCAAAAGCATTGAGCACTTTATATTTTCCACGCAATGTATTTTAAGTGTCCAGAGGCCAGTGAATCTAGATACTGTGTGCACATCAAAGACACCAAACTCAAAAGTTTTAAAATATAGTCCCTTGCCCGTGGGAGCTGTCTGATGGCTCCCATGTGTTCATAGACCCACCCTCTCTCTTACTGTTTATTGCATCCATCTTGAATCTTAGCAAGTTGGACACATAAGCCTCAGAGACACAAGAAGAGATGTGATTTAAGGGGCACGTCTGTCTCCAGGAAGCTGAAATATAAAGGGAAGAGAGAAAAGAAGAAGGAAGGAGGGAAGGGAAGAAAGGGAAAGGAAAAGAGTGTTAAGTGGTGATGAGTCATTTAAACACTATGTGATCTGGTGACTTCAAATAGTAAGAGAGAAGCCATAACTCTTGCTTCTCTGGTCCAAAGAATGCTCTTTTCTCTACCTGGTGAACGGGCTTCTCTAGATCAAATTTACTTCAGGCTTGTCGCTTTCTATCCTGGAGAATAACTAAGTTTATAAAGATCTCCTCGCCTCCTGGGCGTCTTAATCATGATAACCGGTACCTTCACCTCTTCCCACTCCTCCCCACCTCCACCAAAGCCCATTTCTTCTGTGCCCCCCAGGATAGAATAACTTTTACAAGGCAATCTGTTGTTAGCCCGTCAATTTTCCTTTGTGAATGGAGGCCACAGAGTAGTGCATCTTCAAGGGTCGCTCTGAACGATTTACTCCTGCACAGCAAGGCTTTCACGCGTCCCTGTAACGCGGACTGCACAGCAGAGGGCTGACGCTGTTCACAGCTCAGTGCAGAAGCCACCACCGCTAACACGCACGGGACGCGGACAGCCCCACTGGGGCCTTCAGTCCTCGCTCTGAATTCTCTTTCTTGACTCACTTTGAGCTTGAAAAACTGATCAGAGTAACAGCCGAGACACCAGAAGTTTGAACTGACCGCTGCATCCTCCCTGTTTGAGGCTTGCTGACAGTGAGAAGACCCAGCGTTCTCAGTCTGCTTCAAAGGGTGCTCCGCTGCCGAGTCGCTTCAGTCCTGTCTGACTCTGTGCGACCCCACAGACGGCAGCCCACCAGGCTCCCCCGTCCCTGGGANGTATTTGCTGCCTGTGGTTGGCTGGTCCCCTGCAAAGACCACCATGTCCTCATCCTTGAAATCCATAGCTCACTTCACATGGCAGAAAGGACTTTGCTGATGTGAGGAATTAAGGACCTTGAGATGGGAAGATTATCCTGAACGATCCAAATGGTTACGATTTAATCACAAGGGTCTTCATAAGGAGAAAGGAGGGTCAGAGGAGAGGGGGTGAGCGCCAAAGTTGAGGGAGGGGCTGTACAGGCAGAAGTCAAGGTGAGGGGGAGACTGACTGATGCTGAGCTGCCCGCCTGGTGGGAGGAAGGGGCCCAGAGCCAACGCTAGCAGGCGGCCCATGGAAGCTAGAAAAGGCAAGGCAGAAGGTCCTCCCCTAGAAACCTCTGGAAGGAACCAGCCTTGCAGGTGCATTGATTCTAGAACTTCTGGCCCCTGAGCTGTGTGAAAATATTCATGGTTTCTTAAGCCTGTCATTTTATAGTAATTTGTTACCGCAGCCAGAGGGAGCAAAGAGATGCTGAAATGCCATCCCATCTTCCTTCTTCCTCCTCACCCTCCTCTTCCCGCCAGCTGCAGCGCTTCTCTGTGCCTTCCGTCTGAAGGGATAGACCTCCTTCTTCGACCGTAACGATTACATTCAGGTAAGACAAAAATCACACTGTATCATGCTCCCTCAGCCTATACATGAACACTTGTGTAAGTACTTGGTTTATTCAACCTTTCCATATTTATGTGGGCTTCACAACTTGATTACAGCCTCTTTGAAGACAGAAACTCTGAATTTAATTTTACCTTGCTGGTTCCCCTAGAAGCATACCCAAGACCTTAATAGGCGTGATCCATCAATTGCTCTTCTCGCCCCTCAATCACACCCTCGGCCAGCTGATACATGAAGAGTGCATTTTGACATGGTAAGAATATAACCTTTGCATCCCAGGTTTTAACCCCAAGAATTTGAGCCAATACGCCTAATGACACGTATTTCACTGGATACAGGATTACCTTTCTCTCCTCTAAACAAGGAATCAACATCACTAGGATTTTACAAAATACTCCGAGCTCTGACTATTTGCATTTCTTCTTTCCACTGTTTAGTGACTCTTCTATCCTATCAATTAATTTTTCATTTTTCCAATAAATCCCTTCCCTTTTTCTTTTTTTAAATAAGAATTTAAGCATATTGGATTTCTTTTTGTTTTAAAAACTCGAGTCCTGCCAAACCCACAGAAAAGCAAAATATAATTAAATTTCACAATATCTTAAAATGAGCATCAAACAAAAGATTGCATTGAAATTCCCCATTTCATTTGTAGCTGCATATTAGCGAGCACATTAAGGGTCCGTAAAGGCAGTTTTGCTTTTAAAGGCAGGTGTTGGACAAAGAACTTCCTGCAGATTAAGGACCGCAACACCAGAACCACCATCCGTTTAAAATAATTCAATTAAGTGGAAGTCACCCTATAAATAAACATATTGAAACGTCCAATGGAAAACCAGAGTAATGATTAATAGAGTGTTTCCATATCAAAATTAACCCAGTTTTTAACATCTGCATTATTAGAGTGTGGGCATGTCCGTGGCTCACTGTGCTCATTTTTGCTTTACAAACACATATTAAACGTACATTCCATTATGCAAACTTTTACACGTGTGCATAATCTTTGCAGTAATTTAATTTATTTAGGGGAACCATAAAAAACTTATATCCCACTGATTTAAAAAATGTGTATCCCTATCTCTACGTTGTATGTATTCATTTACTGGGGTATAAATGTTGTTCGCTGTTGCGGGTTTTACAGGCCCTAAGAGCCCCAACCTGCCTAGGACCCCTAGGGACAAAGTAAAGCCCCATGACCCCCTGAGACTTGAGGCTTTCTTTTAAAGCGATCCTCCTTTTGATTGCTGTTTTCAGGGAAACAAACGCAGCTTGTACTTGTGTCTTGGAGGAGTTGATGCTGCTGTCCCAGTGCAGCCCGACATCTCTTTCCTGCCTCTCACCCCGGTCAGCATGATCGTCTCCGACTCCTCGCTGGCCTTCAATAAGGACAGTATGTGTTGTGCCGCAGCTGCAAAAGACTTCACAAACGCTGGCTGACGAGAAGTGACAGCCCTGTATATCTCTCACCGGCATTGACAGCTGACAGATGGATACCACTCACACACAGAAAAAGAGCCCCCGGGACGATTCCCCAGCATTCTGTCTGTTCGTAGGGCCACATTTGATGGAGTGCCGCTCAGAATAATAAACCCTCACCGATCCACCGCTGAGCTCTCCTTGAGTGCACAATGCCCTGGGTTTTTGTTGCTTTTTTTCCCTCTAAAACATGAACAAACCTATACATCGAAGCTCTGTTTTGTGCATTACTTTCTTTCCATCTTGGTTTTGAAAAACAATAAAGAAAAAAAAAGAGAGAAGGGAGGGAAAGAGAAAACAGAAGAACCCCCAACATTTGTGACTTTCAGACGGGGGAGCGATCCGTGTATAATGGCACAGAACCCTGGCTGGGCTGGGTCTTTAATAATTCCTTCATCTCTCCAATCTGTTTGTTATTATCCTTTGGATTGTTTTTATTTCCTTCCATAAATCAGCCCATCCTTAAAAGCATCGCTGCTTGGTTAGCTGGGAAACAGTGACATAAAACTGGACAGGAGGGAGGCGTGTGGAAACACAGGGTGGAGGAAAGGAGGGAGGTGGGAAGGAAAAATAGAAAGCACCCCCTTAGCCCCCTGGGTCTATGGACGATAAGGGGGGAGGAAGAATGGAGGTGAGAATGGGAAAGCCCTCCAGCCTTTTGTTCATGGATTTGAAGACTGTCTCTGCAGCTTTTGCCATGACGCTTGTGTTGCCTGAGTCTCCCAATCAAGTGCACCAGGACCCAGCTGTGTCCGGGAGGTGTCCAGTTGCCAGAATAGAGTGGCAATAGAAGGTGCATCTTCCACAAGGGGTGAGGGCGGGATCTGAAAACCAACAGCCCCAAGATAAGAAAAAGGGAGACTCACATCAACACAGCCTCCAAAGCAGTTTGTGATCTACACATGAGCTCTTAGCATGTAGCAGGGGAGAGGGCTGGTTTGCATTTGCATTCTCTCATGAGTTAAATTGGAATGTCTTAGGGTGTTCAGGTCATTTAATCCTTCTGTCCAACTGTTTTATAGACACCCATGGCAAGTCAGCAGATGACGCATCCTGATGATTTTTCCGCCTCCTCTTCTGACCTGGTCTCTAGTTTATGGTCCCCACCTGACAACACATGGCGCCTCTTCCTCCATCTCAAGACTGTAATTTTTGGCAATGTGGAGGCTCTGAGAGGGAAGTAACTGGGTGCTGAAGTCTTCCTACTCTGCTGGTTCCCATGGTTGCCATAGAAACCATAGGCTGGGCTCCCACCAGGCACTCCATCTCATCCTGGTACCCAGGGGAATGGCACATGTGTATATATGGACTGCCACTTTCATGCTCTGCTAGATGAGGAGGGCAGAGGGGTCCATTCCCCTGGCCTGGAGGTCATCAGCTGCCAGTTCACTCCAGAGCTGCTGACCGTGGGGAGTCATTACTTAGATGAAGGAGACATATCAGGCTAGGATTTTTAAGCAACCCCAATGTGGGGAGAAAATCTTGTTCGGTCAACACATCCTGGAGGAAAGTGTTCTCCTGAAATCGTCTCCCTTGTTAGCACCGTGGGTTCCAGTGTCCCTGAAACAGTAAATGTGCGTACAGTGGCAGGCTGATTGTCAGCCAGGAGGGAGACGCACACGGAGGTAAGGAGTCCTAACCAAGAGACTGCCTTACTGCTCCTGGTTCTCAGAAAGAACAAAGCCCCTTGGTGGCCGGCAATGATCAGGGTGGCCACGGCAAATGTGAATGAATGAACAGTTTTCTCGACCTTGAAAATCAGTCTGGTGCTATTTATGTCTGAATGAGCCACTCTGAGGTAACAGGTCCAGGTTCGCAAATGGTCCCCAGCGATGCTACTCACTTTCACAGCATGTGCTCTGTCGCCCTTTTCTTAAATATTATGGGGTACAGTGTCACTGCACAAACTAACCCAGAGTGTGGTTTCAATATCCATGTCTATCAGCAGTCAAGGGTTCCTACCACGATGCCCGTCCTTCCAGAAAGGCCTTTTGATGAAGGATCTGTAAACGCTTTACAAAACCTCAGCTAATGAAGTTTTGCATCCCCCACAAGGCAAACAGCACATATCACTTCTGCCATGCATTGTGATCTTCAAAGCGGCGGACACAGTGCTAACGTATTCAAATCACCTAATTTGTCTCTCGTAACTTCATAAAAAATTCCTTAATGGAAATTTCCCAAGTGGACCTTGGCGAGAGGAAGTTTCCAGTGAGAGGAAATAAAGAAAGAAAGAAAGGATCACTTTCACTTTATGGTTTCTGTTCCTTTTAATTAAATAAAAGCAGCAGAGTGTGCAAAACTGGATTTGTGCCATATTACTCAACCTGAAGGGAGCATGATGTCAAGTCGCAAAAATCTAAAACTATGGAGAGTGTACCATTTAGGAATTAGAAATGTTTTCTCTCCATGGGAAGTTTCCTTGGAAACTTTTGAAGACCTTGTGAGTCTATGCACAGTCTGCTCACACAATATACAAAATCTGTAGGTGTGGACTCCAGCTTTAATGGGGGTGGAGCGTCATCTGAGTCTTGACCCGGGTCTGGTCCACTCTGCTCCTGCTGCTCATTCTAGGAGGGGGCAAAGATCGCAAGGGTCTGCATCTGACATAATGGGAGCAAACATCCACGGAGCCCTCCCAGCGCCCTGGGCATATTGCAGGGGCCCTGGTGGGTGTGGCTCTGAGCGACCCACCAGCCCCACGAGGGGAGCACTACCGCCATCCCAGCTTGCAATCAGAGGAGCTAGGACAGTTTCTCCTGGTCACATAGTAGGTCCTGGAACTGGCTGCTCCCCAACAGACGGCTCTCATCACCATCCCTTACTGAATCCCTACCATGAGGTTTTTCCAAGCAAAACTGATTTGAAACGTTTTTAATTGTGCTGATAATTAAGTTTTATGTTATTTGTATTAATTAATCATTAATATTCTAAGTCCTTCCTCCCTCCAATAATGATAAGACTGAATGAAAGTTGGCTAAAAATGGAAAGAAATGGTAATTGTGAGAGTCCCAGGAAGGAATGATGAGGAAGCAGAAAGGAAGGAAGAAAAGAGGATACATGGTTCTCATTTTAGCAGCCTGGAGGGAGAAGCAGGAAACTTGGGGTCAGGGGTCAGAGGGCATGGCCACTCCAGGACCCCGGCAAGAGCACCTCATCTTCCTGAGAGACCAGCTGTGGGGCCACCCCGACGGGACCTAGACCTTGTCCTTGACACTGGCCTTGTCCTGTCCTGTCTCCCATGATGTGAAAACCGCCCAGCTCTGGCTGCTCATTACAACTGTGAAGTGCCGGCCATGAGGTCTAATTGGAAGTGATCTTGGGATAAACGCAGTATAACAAGCTTGACAGAACGTTGCACAGCACACTGAAGGAAGAGCCCTTGTCTTCTTGGGTGGGGAGGCTACTCAATGTGACCACCTCCACCCCCCACTCCAGGTGTGGTCTCACTGGCCCAGCCTCACGGCAAAGGGCCAGGCCTCGTCCTGCTAGGAGCAAGTCTTGAAGACATTCTCTCAGGAGCCAGCTAAGCTCATTCCTCGGTGGCCCTAATGAAACAGATGGTTACACACCGTGCAAGGAGCACCCCGAGGCATTACCGGTTTTGTGTGCTCAACTTCACAGGCCTCTGTGCCTGTGAGTGCAGGCGGTGGGGGTAGTATTCACCCCCATTCATCACACACCATTCCCCCACTTTTCTGCTGATAAATCATCAAAGTAAGAATCCCAGAATTGTAAACTTGTTACAGGCCCACTCTACTGTTTGGAATAAAGTTTGGCCATTAAGAGGGGAGTGGTTGAGTTCATCTGGGCTCCTCCCTCACCCTCCCGAATTCCAGTCTGCTTTCCTTCTTTCCTGTCCATTGTCCAAGTGCAGTAGACAGCTCCCTGGGCGCCTAAGATAACCGCACCCCCACTTCCCACCTTCTGGCTGCCTCTTCCTGGGAAGGCCCAGTCATCAGTCCACCAGTATGTGGACCCGTGTGTCACACAGCATCCTTCTCTGCTGGACCACAGGCTCCTGCGATCTCAGGGGGGAACCAGAGCAGAGGTGTTATCACAGGCCTGGGGATGCTGAAGCCGATGAGACTCTGAGCTGCCCGCTGCTTTCAGGAAGTGGCTTGATCACTGACCTGATCACTGGGTAGTGGCATACTCCAGGGTCTCTGGAATCCAAGGTGCTCCTGGGCGATGACTGAGTTTCTTTGCAACCACAGTTTGAGGCTTTTAATTTTAATTAAGGAAGACAAGGGCATGGTAAAATGAAGGTGTAATGTATGTACATACATGGGTGCTCAGTTCAGTTCAGTCACTCAGTCATGTCCAACTCTTTGCAACCCCATGAACCGTAGCACGCCAGGTTTCCCTGTCCAACACTAACTCCCAGAGGTTACCCAAACTCATGTCCACTGAGCCGGTGATGCCATCCAACCATCTCATCCTCTGTTGTCCCCTTCTCCTTCTGCCTTCAATCTTTCCCAACATCAGGGTCTTTTCCAATGAGTCAGCCCTTCATATCAGGTGGCCAAAGTATTGGAGTTTCAGCTTCAGCATCAGTCCTTCCAATGAATACCCAGGACTGATCTCCTTTAGGATGGACTGCTTGGACCTACTTGCAGTCCAAGAGACTCAAAAATCTTCTCCAGCACCACAGTTCAAAAGCATCAATTCTTCTGCATTCATCTTTCTTTATAGTCCAACTCTCACACCCATACATGACCACTGGAAAAACCATAGCCTTGACTAGACGGACATTTGTTGACAAAGTAATGTCTCTGCTGTTTAATATGCTGTCTAGGTTGGTCATAACTTTTCTTCCAAGGAGTAAGTGTCTTTTAATTTCATGGCTGCAGTCATCATCTGCAGTGACTTTGGAGCCCAGAAAAATAAAGTCTGTTACTGTTTCCACTCTTTCCCCATCTATTTGCCATGAAGTGATGGGACCAGATGCCATGATCTTAGTTTCCTGAATGTTGAGCTTTAAGCCAACTTTTTCACTCTCCTCTTTCACT